CAGACAACCTCTCGTCAATATGCGTTTTTCGCATTGCATTGCTGCAAAAAACGCATAAAAAAACTGACTTACTTGCACATATCGATTAAAAATGCCTGATTGATGTTATCATTCAAACCAAATATGGACACCTCACGCGTTGGTTGCGGTCCAATCGAATTATTGTCCAACTTAAAATTTACCATTTGTGAGAACACACACACATAAAAATACAAGAGATTTCAATAAACCGTTCAAAATTTGAATAAAATTAAGCAATTTGCTACTCTCGGGCCAGGAGAATCTTTCAGTGTTGTTAAAACTCTGAAGGAATCAAATTTTTGCTTCAAATCTTGAGCCATTCCTAAAAATATGGATTGTATCCTACATAAAACTCAAATGAGGTCTTATCAAAATCTCACACTAAAAAATTCGAGCGGAAAACGATCCGAAACTATTTTTTGGTGCAAAAGTAAAACAAAACATAAAAAACAAAAAGTCGATGGGTCGAAGCAACGTGATCAACTTACAACGAAAGATGGAATTGGAAGTTCAACTGCTTCGGAGCTGCGAAACCTTGTCAGGGCATTCCTCGGATCACCCACCGTGTGCACGTTGTACTGCAATGATATAAGAAATTTCGAATCCTCAATTCCTCTCGCACCATTTTAGTCGTCTGTGTTTACAGTTCAGGGATGAAACACAGACTTCACCCAATGTAAATATCGGTTAGCTTAAATGAGGCTCCAAAATTTGGCTCCTTTTCAGAATATTAAATGTACATATACGACTATTCTATTCCTCTCTTTCCTCTTAGGGCGTTTGCTGAACTATGCTGCACCCCTCTAGACACATGACGCGCCCGTGCCACATACTTCCTTCCAAACCCCATTTTACTTCATTTATTATGTCACTGCGCTTTGCGAGCAGTAATGCTGCCCTTTCCAACACTTACAACTTACTTGATTTTGTTTCTCTTCTACACACAATCAGAATCACTATGCGTACGTAAGTGCACACTTTTTTTTGAAATTTTCCGTACTGTTTAAAAAATAAAAAAAAATTCTGAAAAAAATTCTACAAAAAAATTCTTACGACTAATAATTTTTATCAGCTACTTAGTTACAACTCTAGCCATGCGAAATCCGCGAAAAGCTGGCAAAAAAAAAAAAAAACGAAAAAATGAATTCGCCACAAAAAAAAGGTTCTATCTCTAAAAATGGTATGCAAGGAAAATGCATGCTGTCTTAAAAGCAGATACAGTAAAAGTTCTCAGGGGCTACGCTAGGGCATAATGACCGCTGGCGCAAAACAGTAAGTCGCATGCGGATGTGAAGACGAGTGATTCGATCTCTTTTCGGCTCGCATTTACAGCAACCCCACTTCCCTCTCCGTCAGCCGGTTAAATACTTTCATTCTCAATAAAAATAAACGGTCAAATAATTCACTGAATATTGAAAAAATTCCTGAAAAAACAAAAAAAAAAAAAAAAAAAAACCTTGGGATTATCCTTGCAAATGCCATTACAACGAAAAATAACATGTTTCGAATCGATATTAATCGCTTTCCAGTTGAATTTAACATGTGCCGTGCCAGCAGAAGAGGTGTTTGAAGCTCTTGATAACGGACGCAATGCACCTGGTGCTTCGGACGATGACGGCACCTCACCCTCTGCAACCGATTGTTCATATTAATACTTAGACCTCCAATGATAAAAAAATTCCTCCTCCCCTTTTCGCCCCCCTTCTTTCCAGTTCAAAATAAATGGCAACGCGCACCAGACTAGCCGGTGCGATCATGCGTTTTGTGCAATTCAGC